TCTCTCTCTCTCTCTCTCTCTCTCTTTCTCTCTCTCTCTCTCTCTTTTCTCTCTCCTGTCTCTCTCTCTCTCTCTCTCTCTCTCTCTCTCTCTCTCTCTCTCGTCCACAAGCGACACTTTCTCTCTAACTTTCGCTCTCTTCGTTCCTTTCTCTTCTGTTTCTCTGTCTCTCTTCTTCTCCCTCTCTCCTGCCTGATTATCTCTGGATTTCTCATCCTCTCTTCTTGCGTCCTTCTCCACCCGTCTCGGTTTCCCTTCATCCCTGTCTGTCCCTCGCTCTGTTTCATTTGTTCTGCTCTCTGTCTCTCTCCCTCTCGTTCGGCCTGGTTTTTTTCTTGACCGCGTCGGTTTTTTATTTGGACGTGTGCGGCCTCATGGGCGGCCGTCTGCTCCGTGGGTCCCCTCAAGCAAACTTAGCCTGGCCTAAACCCCAAACTCCTAACGTCGTATGCATACCCATGAGCCTTGAAGTTGAGTCTTCTGCGTTCGAGGCCTAGGGGCAATGGTTGGGCTATTAAGGTTTAGGGCTAGGGCTTTATAGGGATCAAGGTTTAAGGCTTTTGGATTTTCAGGGCTTAGGGCTTGCGGTTTAGGGCTGTAGGGGTTGGGGCTACAAGCTCACAATTCGCCGAAAAACCTTCTAACATTAAAATCAAACCACCGGAAACCAATTTTTATATCGGGGGGGGCCTTTAATCTTAGGGGGAAACGAACCCCTCAGCCCGCAAACCCTAAGCCCTAGAGCCCGGAGCCCTAAACCCTAAAGCCAAGGTCACTACACTTTACAAAAAAACCCTAAAGCCCTAAGCTGTATAACTTGAGCCCTAAAGCCTTAAGTCCCAAAACTTGAGCCCTAAAGCCTTAAGCCCTATAAACCTTAAACTCCAAACCCTAAGCCCATAAACCCGAAAAAAACCCGGGGCCGTGACCTTTTTAAATCAGAGGGGGGTGTTATTGTTAGGGGGAAGCGATTAGGGCTTAAGAAAGTAGTAGGGGACTTTGGTTCAGTTGTGGTGTGCATTTATATACATTGTACGCTCTATATATATATATATATACACATATTATATATATATA